GCATCCTGCCCTAAATTAATCTACCGCCCTATTTTGGTGTCATCCGCAAACTTGCTTATGTCACTGCTGATCCCAGTATCTAGATCGTTTATGTAGATTATGAACAAGAGTGGACCTAGTACTGAGCCCTGGGGAACCCCACTGGTTACACAGCCCCACTCAGATTTAACACCATCTAAGCTGACCCTCTGCGTTCTATCGGTGAGCCATGATTTTATCCAATGTAAAACTTTCCCCTCGATACCATGAGCCTTAACTTTTCTCAGAAGCCTTTGATGCAGTACTCTGTCAAATGCTTTGCTAAAGTCTAAGTAAATAACATCGTAATTTTCATCATTATTTACTACCTCGAAGACTTTCCTAAAAAAGTCAGCAGATTTTCCCTTTGTAAACCCATGTTGAGAGTCGTAGATTAATTTGCTTTTCTCTAAATGCGATCGGATGCTATCTGCTATAATTGATTCAAGAAATTTCCCCACTACTGACGTCAAACTGATCGGCCGGTAATTTGACGCTGATACTCTGTCTCCCTTTTTGAATATGGGTACTACATTTACCTGTTTCCACAAGTCTGGCACAACTCCCGTGTCTAATGATTTTGTAAATAAATTTACGAGGGGTCTTCTAATCTGTTCCCTACACTCATTCAAGACTCGAGGGAAAATTTAATCCGGCCCTGGGGATTTTGTCTTCTTTAATTTATTTATTTATTTCTTTACTTTTATTTTAGGATGGTGTGTGCATGTAAATGAGTAAAAATAAATGAAGAAAGTTATGTAAACCTACCCAAAAATACAGTTGAAAAACTTGTACGTATATTAACAAAATTTACTACACTAATGTACTAAAAATTTTATCTCTTGTGCAAAATATGTGATGGCTATATTCAAATTATCCGCTGTCCTGCAAGGATTATAACAATGCAAGTTATATTCTCCTAACTTTAGTCTGTGATATTTTACAAGATAAAAACTTTAAGCCTAAAAGCACCAAACCCTGGCTGGAAAGATGGGGGGAGGGAGGGGAGGTCTAGTTAAGAATCCGCGTATTTTTGCTGCCCCCCCCCCTAAAAACACCCCTGGCCCCCTATGTCCTTATTTACCGTATATACCTGTGTGTAGTTCAAGTTTTTAAGACCAAATTTTTTGGCAAAAACTTGGGGGTCAACCTCTAAACGGGTAATAGTTTCGTTAGGTTGAAAAGTATTTACCAGTAACTACCAGTAAACAATGGAAACGACGCACCACCAGCTGTGAGTGTCGGTACAGTTGCCAGGGCAGGTCTCTTGCGTCATCATAGCAAGCCCAAAGTAGCCAAATGCATGGTATGGTAGCACAGGATGATGTAAAACATAAAGTATTCATTTTTTAAAGGTTATTTATAGATACATAAATTTTTGTTCATTACATTTGAAACATCAACCTTTGTTAATTAAATTTGAAACAAAAGAAAACTACGATTCCGTATTTCTAAATACCAGGTATTTTCATTTAAATATTACATCACAAGTATATTTTACCTTAACTGTGACTGAATGAATATATTCTCAGAAATTAATATGGAAATGTAATATTTTTGCTGAAATGACGTTCGTATTACAGTGGAAAGTGGGATAAAATCATGACAAAAACAATGACTCGCTTTCTTTCGTTGTTCAAAAGATTTTACAGTAATCGCTTTTCGAATGGTTTTCAGTTAAAAAACTTGTATTACAATAATATTCTTTCCTAATTCACTTGAATAAATACTATGATACCATATTTCTGAATATTTTCATTAAAATCCATCAAAATCATTTTCCTTGTCATTGTCTTCAGCACCAAACAGCTCCTCCCAGTCTTCTCCTTGAACAGGGCAAGAGGGTAATTGTTCTTCGAATCGTTTTCAGTTAAAAAACTTTTACATCACATGTATATTTTACCTAAACTGCGCCTGAATGATTATATTCTCAGAAATAAATAGTAGTTTTGCTAAAACGTGATGTATTTCAATGTAAAATAGGATGAAATACATGACGAAAACAAAAGACTTTACCTAACCTTCCACTGTTCAAGAGATGTTACTCGTTTTTTTAATAGTTTTCGGTTAAAATACTGTTATATTACAATGATATTCTATTCATACTGTGCTTGATATAATACATTCTCGGAAATGTAATATTTTTGCTGAAATGACATACGTATTGCTGTGAAAAGTGGGATAAAATCGTGATGAAAACAATGACTTTCGCTTTCTTTCGTTCAAAAGATGTTACCGTAATCGCTTTTCGAATGGTTTTCAGTTAAAAACTGTTGCATTACATGTGAATTAGGATAGAATATTATTGTAATACAACAGTTTTTTAACTGAAAACCATTCGAAAAGCGATTACGGTAACATCTTATGAACGAAAGAAAGCAAAAGTCATTGCTTTCGTCACTTTCCACTGTAATACGTACATCATTTCAGCAAAAATACTACATTTCCATATTCTCAGAAATAAATAGTAGTTTTGCTGAAACGTAATGTATTTCAATGTAAATTAGGATAAACTACATGAAAACGAAAGACTTTACCTAACCTTCCGATGTTCAAGATATGTTACTCGTTTTTTTAATAGTTTTCGGTTAAAATACTGTTATATTAGTGATATTCTATTCATACTGTACTTGATATAATACATTCACGGAAATGTAATATTTTTGCAACTACAATGCTGATGTCAACACAAGCGTGGTTACAGCGAGACTGACTGACTGAGGGAGCGCAGGAATGTGGGATGGTGCGGGTGATGTGTAATAATAATAATAATAATAATTAATGGTTTATTGAAAGAGCTTGGCAGCCAGAAGGCTGAAAATATACAGTTACATATTTGGGGAATGGGTTACGAATTACAAATAATATACAAGTAACATAAGTGACACAAATAAGACATATAATAACTAGATGTGGAAAAGCTCAAACTACAGTGTAAGGAGCAGTGTTTACTGGGAGTGAATACACTGATTTATTACAAGTTATTGATAATTTTTACAATGGTTGGGACTGGGCTGTTCTTATAGCGATCAGTTCGTGCACGTATGGGCTGGATGCGGTTGTGGTGTCGAACAGCAATTCTCGGACAAGGGATCTCAGGTGGTAGTAGGAGCCGGTGTCGGGGATGGTGTAGAAGCTTCTTACCAAATTTGCAGATGAGGTCGTGGTGATGGTCAGTGAGAGTCGAAAGGGTCAGTGTGTTGAGCGCTTCTTGATATGTGGAGTAGGAAGGGGAGAGAATAATCTTGCATGCCCTCTTTTGCACTTTTTCTAGGTGTTTACGTTGTGTGGCATTTAGGGAGGAAGACCAGGTGGGGAGGCATAGGTGAGCTTGGGAAGTATGAATGTTGTGTAAACACTGAGGAGCTGTGTGCAGGAACTCCGAGGGACTTGAGTCGGCGGAGGAGGTGGAGACGGAAACTGGAGGATTTGATAACTTCACTGACGTGTGGTTTCCAATTTAGTTTGTTGTCTATGGTGACGCCGAGGAGCTTCGTGGAATCTACAACCTGGAGTGTGTTCGGACCTAGAGTAATGGAAGGAGGTGGGACAATGTCGGAGGAGAGGTTGATGTGCATAACCATGGTCTTGGTATGGTTGATGGTGACATGGTTGTTGGTGGCCCAGTTTTGGAGACTGTTCAATAAATCCTGAAGGGCGGTATAGTTGGGAGCAGAATTGTGTGTGTGTGTGTGGTGTGCAGTGTGCGGTGTTGCGCGCGATTTGAATAATGTATATTCCTTTGAATGTATATTCCTCCAGCGGCAATCCGCGTATTTGCAAATCCGTGTTAGTTAAACCCTCATATGTTAAGGACCGACTGTACTGTACAGTTTACTGTACAATAATAAATAAAAACAATAGACTACTGTATTTTAACTTATTTTGAGGTGTGTATGTCGTATTCCCGGCAGCTTTGTTTACATATCAACCAGCTGATTGTAGAGGCAGTCGATGATGACATGCCATATTCTTTACAGAGTGCGTTGGTTCTAATGCTTTTTCATGTTTCATGTAATATACACCACATATCACCTGTCGGTACAGTAGTAGACTTGGTCTGAACAGCTGCTGAATGGGACGGAGGTAGGTCTTGTCGTGGTCTTGAATTTGCTGTAGGGGTTGTGTGGTGTTTGGCTTTGTTACCGCCTTGCTGGAGCTGGTAACAATGGCCAATTCTATGACCATTGGTGTTACAGTGTTTGCTTAACAGATGCTGTTTAGGTTTCGTGCAAGTATCCTTGGAAACTTTGTGATGAATCGGCGCCACAGGTGTAACTGTACTGGCCAGTGGGGTACGGGCTACCTTAAGTGGGATCTTACGTGCGTAAGAAAGTATTGTATTAGACTGGGCATAATCATCAGTCTTGGCTTAACTGTACGCAGGGTCCCGTAAACATAATACAACTGTCGCAATTTTAACAATGCGTGCTGTCATTCTGCGGCAACACTTTAAATACAATGAAAGTGTTAGTAAACATGCTTGAACCTGCTCTAGCCATTGTTAGTCGGGTGTTAAACAACTTACAGGTCACTGAAGGAATAGAGGATGTAGAAGGTAAAGTATACTGTCCCGACACACTGGGGATTGGTGGGTAGGGAGAATGAACAGATCCGTACTGAGGTGTGGTGCCGTATGTACGACCTGACCTAAGTTGGGTATGGTGTAAATCGCCAAATGATTGATCAATTAATTGTTCACCATTATTATGGAAGTATTTTGTTGTAGATAAATTTGTGTTCCATGCATATCTTCCAGAATACCAGTAACAATGCCAGCTCCGATAGGGAGAACTGCGTCAGTTAGTATTGCGTTTTCTGTTTGTTCAAAGGTACTATTGTAATCTTTTTGCTAAATGCGTAATGTCTGAACCAGATAAATGAAATAAAGCATCCATAAATGATTATTCAATCATGTAAGATTATACTCAATAATAACCTTATCCATCTATTTATGGCAAGTTTTATATACTGTATTTCAGTACGTATGTGTGAGGATTCTGGCGAAATCCTCATAACAGAGGAAAAAGATTTAGCCACAGTCTTGAAGGAAGGGAAACAACCACATATTGGATTTTTACCTCATCAGCCACTGGCAACACTGTACTCCGTATTTTCAGCAGTTGTTGGCATAGCAACTGGACATTATCTCCTTCATCATGACTCTAAGACAAATGCTTTTATCAAACTTTTAAAGGCAACAGATTCAGACAAGTAAGTTTAAATAAGTTAGCTTTTTATTACTTACATTGTAAGGCTGTTGTAACTGTCCACTGTCCATCATTTTGAAATAATTGGGATGAAATGTTTGTATATGTACAGTATTTTATATTTTTGGTTACACCTTTTTTCTTCATTTACTTTAATGAAGATGTAATCTACTTTGTTTAACTGTCAGAATAAGTGCATCTCTGAAGAAACTAAATCCCAAAACCAAATAATTGTCTATTACTGTTGCCATTTGTACAGTATTCTGTTAATCATTTCTCTATGCACAGCTTCTTGATTATTGTATAAGAGATCACCTGAAAATTAGTCACTGCAGCTTATTTCACATGGTGATTAAACACCCTAACACTACCCATTTTTTGTTTTGCTACCTTTAGTCAGTGCTACATGACAGGTTAAAAAAATCAGATAGAAAAATAACTCAGTTAACAGCAGGGCAACATCATTTGGTGACATACATGTAGTTATCAGCGGGGCAACATCATTAGATGACATACATGTAGTTAACAGCAGGGCAACATCATTTGGTGACATACATGTAGTTAACAACAGGGCAACATCATTAGATGACATACATGTAGTTAACAGCAGGGCAACATCATTAGGTGACATACATGTAGTTAACAGCAGGGCAACATCATTTGGTGACATACATGTAGTTAACAGCAGGGCAACATCATTAGGTGACATACATGTAGTTAACAACAGGGCAACATCATTAGATGACATACCTGACATGTTAAATTATTATCTTGGTCAGCATTTTTACTCATCAAACACGTATTTAACCATAAATTATGACATCATTATTTTCTATCCGAGTATTGTATTAATGTCACATTGTATTTCAGGCAGACGTTTATTCAAAAATACCATCTTCATACAGTTTATTCAATTACTTCTCCATTCACCCGGATGTACACAACACCTCCTTGGCTTGCTATTGACACTCATATTCTCACACCGTTTCATATCAAGCATTACAAGATTCCTGCAACCTTTCCTATGGAAAATAGTAAGTGAACTTCAATTTGTTAAGAAGAGTTTTTCACATTTAGTTTCTCTTATATAAATCTAATGCAGTATCACTTCAATAAACCAATTGACAATAGTTATCCTGATATTCTTATTGGTCATTCTGTGATATAGTAATGAAGTACTGTATTTGTTTACTACAGTTTCGAAGAAATTGTCATTCACAAGGAAGAAGAAAATAAGAGAGAACGCTAAGAAGAAGAAAAAGTTAGAAGATCTTTATAAAGAGAAGGAGAGTGAAGAAACTTATGAATCCTCAGAATAATAGAGAAGAACTCAAGTATGGTAGAATGGGAAAGGTGTCAATCACACAGACTTGGTGGATTGAAATATTAATGCATGGAAGTGTAAGCTCCAAGTGTCATTTAATATTATTTTCTGAACTTTTTTATCCTATTCACAATAGCATCATCTCATAGTGCACAGTGCATGTAGCTACCTCTCTAACACTGTGCCTTTATCTGCCATCGTAATTTTTTCTTGAGATATGCAGATGTTGCAGTAATGAAGTAAAGTTAATTCATTACTGAGCTGAAGCAACTTTTTTGAATGAATCATTTTCTTTTTCTTTTTTTTCTTCTTTTCTGCGGTGATTAGCCCACCCGGGCACAGGCCACTGACCCACATCGGGGCCTAGGGGCGGGGGCAAAAATATTATTGATAATAATATAATAATAATAATAATTCATAGGAAATAAAATTTATAAAAAAAATTAAAAAATTAAATAAAATATTAAAATAATAATGATAACAATAATAATCACTGTAATTATAATAATAATAATAATAATGATAATAATAATAATGATAATAATAATAATAAAGAACCATAAATAAAAAAATAAATAAAAAGTGACAAACAATATATGTACCGTATTTGCCGGCATATAAGACGCATTTTTATTTTTATTTTTCAACGTATCCCAAATTACCCTGCGTCTAATGCGCCATAGGTGCCTAGCTAGGGAGTCTGGGATGAGCAGTAGTCCACTAAGCACAAAAATTTTGTTAGTACTTATAATAAAATACTGAAAAACAAGCCAAATTATCGCAATCTATTATCACAAACTTGCTGCAAATTTGCTGAAGACGTAAATTATGGCTTAATGGCAGAGGGAAGCTCACAACATCTCTCTGTACCTCCTTCCCCAGCATACGTAACCCACACCAGATACATGTCTTACATTATTTAACAACTGTGTTACCTTTAAGAAACATTTGTTTATTATCTAAATGAAAAATGACCCTAGAAAGATTAAAGAAATGTTTACAGAAAGTTCAGCTGCCAGTCAGCCATTTGCAATGAGTCGATAACGCCAAAACAATAGCAATGATGCTACACCCTGGTGGCCGATCATGGCAACAAAAAACATCACAGCTAAAAATACGAGTTTCACATCCTGTCGGTAATTCTCTTGACCAAAATATAAACAAGCCACACAGCTGCTCTGATCAGAGGTAGAGTTGGGTTAGTATAATGTTACTATACTAATGAGATGCATTCCCAAGTGTGACCCTTTCATTTCTTTTGTGTGGCTTTTTACCCTCTTTTCCCCCAAAACAAAACAATTAATGAAAATTTCAAACTATTTTTAAATAATGTTTCTGAATGCACCTTATACAATATAAATGAATAATAATATGGTCACACAAGAGATGGGACACCATTGTTTTCATTTGTGTTTACAGTCGGGAGTTCAGGACGATGGGTCTACACGAGAAAAGTAAGAAAATAAGACCCTGGTTGTAGCTGCAGTAAAATTAATGTAAAAAAAAATAATATATATGTTTTAAGTAACGTTATTTAATGTTAATAAATGGAACAATAGAAGTAGTTAACCACTAATGGCAAAGAAAAAAAAGAGATGGATTGGGAACATATACGTGCGCATTTAAGGATACCGCGTCATTTACCTTTTTAAGAATATGTACAAAAGATTCATTATTGTTTATTACTGAATATGTATTTGATTTAATTAATCTTTATATATGTGAAATGAACAATAGAATTCATTAATAATATGTAGAATATTAAAACACACAATTGGATAAGAGACAGCATTGTCAGTGTTTACACCCGAAATGTCAGTTATCCACCTGAAACTGAGGAAAATACGACCTTGGTTGTTGTTGTAGTAAAATTAATGTCAAATTTATGTATACTTTAATTAATGTTATTTAATGTACAGTGGAAGTAACCACTGATATAAAAGAAAAAGTGAGACAGTGGAATGCCAATACCATATATACGTGCACACTCAAAGAAACATAGTCATTTATCTTAAGAATACTGTTATGTACAAAAGATTCATTATTGTTTATTATTGAATATGTATTTGATTGAATTAATGTTTATAAATGTGAACCGGTGGATGTTACATGGGTTAAAGTAACTTTTTATTTTTTATTTTTTTTTTATGATTCTCATTAACTCATTCCTCTATTCTGGGTGTCTCAGCAGTGAGTGTGTGATATTTTACCAGGCATTCAGATCTTGCTCTTTTCTTTTCTTTTATCCTCTTCACCACTGATCGGCTCGTTAGCCGCTTGGGCGATCGGTCACGCCTCTGTTACGCACTGTTAGCAAGTACTGGGCATGCACCGGCTCTTGAATGTGCAACATACTGTACTGGAAAACTCCTCCACATAAAGTGACATGTTAAAGGCTTTCCCTTCAGTAATGAATTTATCTTTAATTTAAACATACCCTTACCAGCATCAGCATCATGTGAGGATTATTCATTTGTATTAGACCCAAAGGGTTTAGAATAAGTAACAAAAACTTCAAATTATCTTTTGTTAAGGTTAAATGAAATGTATATACATTAAATGGTGGGATTATATTCCTCATTATCTTATACAGTACAGTACTGTATATGTTATTATGTACCCAATGCTATCTACTGTATATGGTAATGCTGTGAAAGATTTGATACAGTTGGCCCTCACTACTGTACAGTATTTGCAAGTGCTATTTTCTTAAAACCTTGCAACTGCCAAATTAGAGAAAGGGATTAGGTTCCTGGTAAAACTGAATTTAAGAGGAAATGGTAAATGTTTAAGAACAGTGACTACAATAAATACTCCACCTTTAAATAATAATAATACATTTTAAGAAGTACGGACTGTAATTTGCTTTTTACTTACTTTTGATGATGATTTAAGGTATTCCATTTGACAGTAACAAATATGCCAAGGAAACGTGCATCAAAGCTTTAAAACATAAATACTGTAGTCAAATCATCAAATATGTTCTATTTTGTCTCATTTTGTCTCATTTTGAAGGTACAGTACTGTATTTTGTCAAAGAATATAGGTATGATGAAGAGGAAAGTATTGTTTCTAAAAGCATGAACAATAATAATAATAATAATAAACAAATCCATTATCAAATACAAAACAAAGTTTTTCCACAGTTCCACATAACAGTACTGTATTTCTGTATCTTATAAAAGTAGCCTGACATTAGGATGTATATCTACATTTCTGGTGGAAATTATCAATCTTGAACTCCAGAATTATTCGAGAAACAGTGTTGAATGTTAGGAGAAAATTATGAATTTACAATTACACCTCCTCCCTGACTTACGACGGGGTTAGGGACCCAAATCAAGGTCGTAAGTCGAAAATGCTTAAATAATACATAGAAAATCTAAAATGGGTGTCTCTTTTTCTTCTCAGCACCACAAAACTCTCACTTTTAAGCTTGCCAGCCATTTTAAAGTGAATTACAAACGAAAATTTTGTCAGCACACAGCGCAATCATTGACGTTGGGACTCGAAAATACGAAATTTGACAAAATTTTGGTACGACTGAGGCGGTCGTATGTCCAGGTGGTCGTAAGTCGGGGAGGAGCTGTATGCAGTACTGTACTATAATGGAATCTCAAAATTTTTCACCGTTTCTCTTATCTTAACCTATAGTACCTGTGTCATGGTCATGCTAGTCTGTTTTAACACTAATGATTCTTATTAAACTCCACGACCGCAAAACATGAGAGGATAGCTGGTTAGCAACCCCTGAGAAGGAGACGTGTTTTTCCCATTCGTTTTACACTCGTAATACCTCCCAGTAAGTCCCGCCTACGAACACAGTTGTCAATACAGGCATCCCCCGCATTACGGAAGGGTTCCGTTCCTGGAAAATTGACCGTATCGCGAAATTCTGTAACGCGAAACCTATTTTCCCATTGACTTCCATTATAAAACTGGAGATGCGTTCCTACGGAATTTTTTTAGCCCCCAAAAACGTAATTCAAGCACGTTTATGAATGAAAATAAACATTTAAACACATACAATACAGTACATTAAATAATTCATGATATACATGTAATATGAAGAGAAATACAGTTGGAATAAATAAAAATATTGTACTGTACTTACCACAAAAGATGTTGACTGCTGCGTGAGGATTGGTGGTGCGAAGGAAGTTATTGAGAGGGAGGGACACTACTCTCTTCTGCCCTGCCCTGTAAATCATCATCTGCTTCTTCATCTGTTTTCACCTTTTTCCTGAATAATTCATCCAAAGTTGTTTGACGTTTACGGCGCACCTTCTCCTTGTACAGCTCAGTGTAGGAACTGAGAGCATTGTTAACTGCTCTTGCAATCCTGATGTTCCTTTCACGGTTGGGGTCGTTATCAGCTAAGATTTGCAGACCTTCCTGTATTAGTGCAAATGCTTTAGACATATGCTTTGTTGTCAACTGAAGTGGGGTGGGTGGAGATTCTATATCCTCTTCTTGTCCTGCAGCTCGCTCTTGTTCCAGCATCATCAGATCTTCATTAGTCAAATCTTCTCTATGGGACTCTAGCAACTCAACCACATTATTTTCCACGACTTCTTCAAAGCCTATATTATTTGCAAGTGTCACAATGTCTTGTTGAACTTTCTGTAGACTTTCAGCTTGTGAAAAATTTTGAAATTCATGGACACACTCTGACCATATGTTTTTCCATGAACCATTCATAGCTGAGGTTTTCACTTCATCCCATGACTCGGCTATATTATCCACAGCATCCAAGATGTTGAACTTTTTCCAGAAGTCCCTAATTGTAGGTTTATCCTCCCCCATCAATTGCTTTTATGAGTTGCAAAAAAGTTTTCCTAAGATAATATGCCTTAAAGATAGCTATCACACCTTGATCCATTGGCTGGAGCAAGGAAGTTGTGTTCTTGGGGATGTACTCCACTCTCACATTATCAGAAAGATCATTTAAATTTACTGGGTGGCTTGGTGCATTGTCTAAGAGGAGCAATGCTTTATTAGATATGTTACGCTTGGCATTATATCTTTCTACAGCAGGGCAAAAATAGTTAGTGAACCAGTCTGGAAAAGGGTCATAGTCATCCAAGCCTTCTTAGTGGAATGCCAAATCATAGGTAGATTAGACTTGGCATAGCCCTTGAGAGCCCTTGGATTTTCTGAGTGATACACAAGTAGGGGCTTAAAATTCATGTCACCTGAAGCATTTCCTCCCAGAAGAAGTGTTAAACGATCTTTGGATGCTTTAAAGCCTGGTGCTGATTTTTCTTCAGTGGAAATAAAAGTTCTAGCAGGCATGCGCTTCCAGAAAAGCCCAGTTTCATCTACATTGTACACTTGTTCTGGTGTGTAACCTCCTTCATCAATAATTTTCTTCAGTTCAGCAGGATATTTATTAGCTGATTCTGTATCAGCACTGGCAGCTTCACCGCTCATTTTTATGTTGTGTAAATTAAGGCGCTTCTTAAACCTTTCAAACCAGCATTTACTAGCCAGAAAAGGTTTAACCTCAGAAGATGCACCTTCCTCTTCCTGCAAATCATTATACTGTATAAACTTATGGCTTCTGTTGAATAACCATAGTGTTTAGTGGCACATTGCATTTAGTCTGATCTTCAATCCAGACACTCAGGAGTCGTTCCATATTCAGCATCACATCACTTCGATGAAAATTCAAGATTCGAGCAGTTATGGAGTAGCTGCTTGACCACTTGACCTAATTTTGTCCTTATTATCACGGATTGTTCCCACTGTTGAAGTAGCAAGGCCTAATGTTTTTGCAATCTGGCTAAGTTTTTCTCCAGCATCAAACCTTCGTAACACATCAACTTTAATATCCAATGTAATGCCTTTGCGTCTTCTTTTTGCACTACTGGGGTCACTTCCACTTGATGGCCTCTTTCCAGTCATCTTGAACAATGGTAATGCACTGTACTGTACTTACTGTATGTTTGTAAAAGTTAAATCAAACTGCTGGGGTTTGAAAAATGCACCCACACTGGATGTAAACAATGGACTGACTCCTCGTGGAGACGCTACGCTCGGCGGTAGCAAACACCAAGAAATCCACACCTAACAAATTATCATTTTTAACGAAAAAATTGAATTTTATATAGTGATTTTTTTTAATTGTTAAAATTTACACCAATTTCCGTAAGGGCGGATTTATGGGCCGTAACGTGAACTTAATGGTCGTAATTTACAAATTCCGTAGGAGCGAAATTCCAAAACCCGGGCTTCCGTAACGCCGGGGATGACTGTACGTTATTTATTCCACTTCTCCTGGGAAGCTCAATCTTGGATTAGTCTGTGTAAATCAACTCAAGTAATTTGCCAGACCTTTGTCAACTGAGGGTCATCCTTGAATGAGTAACAGTTGAGTTGTTTGTAATCTCTGTCATTGCGTGAGTAACGATCGCCAGTAACTCAGGGGTATATATACCACGGGTAAGGGAGAGGTAGCATCCCCTGACGTCTGCTCTCCCGTTTGTCCCCAGGTATGTTCTGTGTTCCCTAGCCATTCAGTTTGATTGAGTCAATTGTAGTGGATATCAGTGTTCATGCTTCAACAGTTGTCATTCACGCAGTGAAGAAGTAATATGAAGTAAATGTCGTTTGAATCCAGACGTGAGATGTGATTGTGTTGTTCATGCTTCCCAGTCCCCTGACGTCTGCTCTCCCGTTTGTCTCCAGATCCAATTGTGGCTCTTGGATCACTCAACGACTGCCCCGGAGTCAGTAGATACCCAGCAGGGATCAATATATGAAACGATGGCACCGATTCGGCATGATTAATCTGCTCCACTGCCTCGTGGAACCAGACCCCAGACTCGCCATGTGTCCGGCTACCACCGACCACAGCAACGGTAGTGAGCCCCAGTGTTCTACCCTGGTAGTTATATGTCCACAGAGTGTGTTGTAATATGTATGTTGGGGATAATTAGTTGGAAATAATCCTCCCATGTTGGGTAGTGGACCCATGTATGTGCTGGTTTCAGTATTAACGTATATGTTGTGAGTGCATCTCATATGCACTACCAACCGTCAGTAAGTGATGTAAGGTACCTTGTAATGTGTGAGAAGTAAAGTTGTCCACTTGGGACTAGGAGTAAAGTCTTGTAACTGTATTGAGATGTACCACTAGAAGATGTGGGTGAAGTAGAAGTACCCACTTGGAGTGGCAGTAAAGTAATCTACAAGGAGTGCCATGTACTATGTATTGTGAGTAGGGCCAAGGAACTGGTCCTGCTATGTAAGGTAATGTAACACCAGTAAGGTTGTGTGCAGTAAGAGTGTAATATCTGAGTAATTGCTGTTGAGTAGAAATAAGAAAATACTGAGTCTGCAATAAGCCCAGGAGTTGAGCCTGGTAGTTATATGTTAATACTATCTCTTTTTCCCTTTGATTTCATATTAATGAATTTATTCCTAGAGTATTTTAGGAGTATTCATTTCTCCCACAGTAGTTACCTTTATTTCCGTCCAAGTGACTTGATACCAGAATTACCATTCCCATGTGCCTAGACCCTCGTCCATGCTACCAAAAAGAACTGAGGTTATGTAGTAACCAGTGAACTGAAGTAAGTAAGATAAGGGTGGTGTAGGTGTTGAAAAACGCGCGCCCTTACACCTGTACTGTATTTTTTGCAGATGAAAAATATCAAAGAAATTGTGGGGTATGGATGTTTGTGTTCACACTCAGGATGGAATGGAGAAAGGAAACTCACAATGTGCTCTCTATATACATGTTGTATTGGATGTACAATGCAGCTTGGTGCTGGGAAGACAGCATGGTTACAAGCGTGATGTACAGAGAGCTGGTTGGTGAGGACGCTCAGAGAAGGACAGCTTGTGGGTCGCCATGCTCGCCGGCGGGAGAGAGGACCGCCAGGCAGGCAGAGGAGGAGCGAGGGCTGCCAGGCAGCGGCGGAGGAGGTGTTGCTGGCTGGTGGAGGTAGAAAGAGGCAGGTCACCACGAGGTCAGGTTTTAAATAGCGGGGGTAGGCGTGGCTTAGTAGTTGACCCCTGCTCCGTGATGTATGGCAGCGCTGGTTGACCTAGACCACGAGGCATACACTGGGGAATTGGTGGGGTCGGCTACTCAGCGACAAACAGCGTTTGTAGGGGAGAAATCCACTACAAAATCCTGCATAGCTAGATTGAATTTAGTGTCCCATGAATCTACTGTATAATCTTTTTCTATACTTTAGACTAAAGAAAATTTTAATCTTGGAGGAACTGATGAATTTATTGTTGAATTGCCTCCAAACATAGTATCCTGGGTTCGATCCCAGTCTAAAATTATAAAGGGTGGGGGGGGTTGCAGTCTGACGTCTTAATAGTCTGGAATGCCGACTCCTGAAAAGGAACAACTTTATGAAAATTTTCTAAAAAAGAGGAGTTTTTTTGACCTGTAGAATATCACACAAAAAAGTGAAGGAATTGCAACTTTTTGGCATTTGTTTTCTCTTACTTCTTGTTAAGAGTAACAAATTAACACCAAACCTAACATATCCTGAAATGGTTCACTTCCATCCTAAGATGGTAAGGTTAGTTTTTTGGGTTGGTTTATCTTGTTTACAGTAAATCATTGGCTGTTGGGAAGTGTTCAAAGCATAATCGCCAAATACGAAAATTGCAAATCCTTGTTTTTTCTTGGTACTGTATATTATTATTAATCGATTTTTTTCTAGTTGTCTTTATAGAATGTTCTAAATTTGTTGTTTGTATGTGTACCTGGGAGTTTTAGAACAGAAATGTTGATGTCTACCAAATGTTTGTCTTCCAGCACCCACCTAAACAAACTGGAAAACCAAAGTAAGGAAGTTACAATGCTTCCACTTCTTTGGATATTTTAAAGGAAATACATTTTTTCGTACTTGTTCCTTCTCATGAATCAGTGTTCCAGACTACCGCCTAGTGTTTACACTAATAATGATAATATTAATACTACTTGTTCAGTAAATTCATTATACAAGTTTACAATAATTGGTTTGGCATGTATAGATTATGGAGGTATACAGTAAAGCATGTTCATAAACAAAGCAGGTACACAGTGTACTTAGACCATGGAGGTATACAGTTTCCTATGTACTGTACGTAGACAGCATAGATATAAAGCAATAGTAAACACTAAGACATCTTCAGAGGCAATTGGATTACATGGGCAGAGAGAGGCTTAAATATACAGGGTGACCTTATTAAACATGAGGTCAGGTCATAATGATGTCATCCACTCATCCCCACACCAACACACACGTAGAGGAGCTTAAGAGAAAGGGGGCGACGTGACTAGTTAGGTCAGGTCAAAAATAAGGGATCCACAAATAACTATCCTACATCTAGCTCCAAGATTTTAAAAGCATTTTTAACCTTGGGCCACTGACAAATAAATTTATGTAACATATCAGTTTTGAACTGACCATCACTAAGGTTTATTGATTTTAATTCCTTAATCAAACTAGCTTCAACCAGAAGTCTTTCTGTGACACAAGATGATTTGAATACTTCAAAGCTTTTTTCCCAAGCAATGGGATGATGATTATTCCTAACATGAACGAACAGGACACTGCTTTAGATGCTGTTCTGATATTGTACTTATGTTGTTTGATTCTGAGCTGCAATGTTTTTCCTGGCTGTCCTACATAATTACCATTGTAATGGTAATTATATAGGACAGACAGGAAAAACATTGCAGCTCAGAATCAAACAAAATAAGTACAATATCAGAACAACCTCTCTCTGTCCATGTAATCCAGTTGCCTCTGAAGATGCCTTGAATAAAGACGAAAGCTAAGGTGCTCCGTTGTTTCCCTTTTTCCCGTGTGATTTTATCAAGATTTATCTTATCCACGTTTTCATTGTGGAGCTACATGAAATATATATAATGGAAATGTAAAAACAAAACAAAAGTTAAGTTAAGCTAACTTGCAACCAAATCCAATGATACTAAAGCTTGGATTCATAACCACTATTCCACGTTTGTTTGCATTTAACTATTCAGAGCCCTAAATATTTTTTTTTAATTCTCGGTACTTTCTGCTGTACTAGTTTATCAAAAAATATAGATATTTTCCAGGTTAGAATGTAAAACTTTGTTAAATTAATGTGTCACTGTCGAGGCAGAATGACGACAAACTTTGTTTCATAACTATGTTGCTTAAGGTACTGTATTTAATAAGCGTGACTTTATATATATATATATATATATATATATATATATATATATATATATATATATATATATATATATAAATTAGTTATAATTATATGATACAGTGTAGTGGCTAACTCTCCCTACAAAATGCTCTGCCTACTCAAGCCACCCTCGCTTGTTGATTGGCCAGCTGCCGTCTCCGCCATCAGCCAATCAGCGGCGCTTCTCACACAGTGGCCTGCAACCTTGCATAGGCAGGATTGTGTCAATACCCCCCTGCCTCACCGAAACTGACCACGTCCAAGAGTGGGGTTTGGTGGTAAGCGTCCACTGATCGGGGGTCCGCTCACACTTGCAACCTGCAGTATCTTTTCATATCTGCAGGCAGGACAACCTCCAATCCCAAATCCGGTCTGGCTGCTCCAGGAGCTCCAGCCGGAACCACCAAACGGGCCGCCTATAGGCAAAGGCCCGTGTCGGACTACGGGCCGACAATCTCAACAACAACAACAACCGTGAAGGTCATTCTACTCTGCGTTCTACACCCAAGAAGTCGACAACACCAACTCTCCTGAACAACTTTCCAGCAACCTACAGCATTTTATATACAATATACGTGGAGTTAACGAAACTTTAAGTTTCCTTTCTCACCTCCCTCCTGAGTGCGAGATCTGCCTTAAGTTACGTGTGTTTGTGGACCTAAAAAAAAAGACTAAACTGCACCCCACACACGCTACAGCAGTATATTTTGACATCAATCTATGGAAGTCAGGTAAGGTAGTCCCCGGGTTATGAACGCCGACATGTGAGCATCCGCCAAATGAGGTTAAACTTTAACTTTACAGTATTTTATGTACCCGATGACTTATTTTTTGCATTCATTTACTGTATTTTGTCATTCCATTTCTTTTCTCTTAAATTAAGTGATTTTAGATATATATATATATATATATATATATATATATATATATATATATATATATATATATATATATATATATATTTATATATATATATATATATATATATATATATATATATATATATATATATATATATATATATATATATAAGGACTTAAGGTATAATAAAGAGGGATTTTAAGCATTGTTCTGCAATTGTTACCAAGTCCCAGGTTGATATCTGATTTTCTGCCTCTTTACACACAATTGCAGGGTCTCAATTGTTTCTCATACTATTGACAACACAACACACGTACAGTATATTGTTTCTCACTTTTGATCTTTTTATTATTATTATTACAGTTTCGCCTCCCAGGCCCCAGTGTGGGTCAGTAACCTGTGCCCGGGTGGGCTTATAGGGTTACGTGATATGTTGTCTAGCACTCAGGATAGATGGATGGAAACTCTAGGTGGTGGTTTTCTTATATAAAATATATTATATACAAGACAGTCTGGTGCTGGAGATGCCGTGTGGTGAGAAGCTTGGTCAAGAGACACGTTCAGTGAGTAGCGTGCTTGAGGAGGTATCTGTACAGGAGCTTTGTTAAGAGACGTTGTGTATTCAGGAACGTAGGGTAGAATGAATCGCAATGGAGAGACTGAGAGCTTATATACACAGCAGCCGGAAGTAAACCCATGGGAACTCGCTGATTTCTTGACTCCGTTGCTAGGGTAGACTAGCATATGGCGATACCCCCCCTCCCCCTGAGCAGCTCGCTGGTTGCTAGGATACTGTAGTGGAATTCTCCCCTACAAACGCTGTTTGTCGCTGAGTAGCCGACCCCACCAATTCCCCAGTGTGTGCCTCGTGGTCTGGGTCAACCAGCGCCGCCATACACCACGGAGCGGGGGTCAACTGCTAAGCCACGCCTACCCCCGCTATTTAAGACCTGACCTCGTGGTGATCACCCTCTTTCCACCTTCAGCCGCAGCCAGCAACACCTCCTCCTCCGCCGCTGCCTGGTGGCCTTCCCTCGCTCCTCCGCCTGCCTGGCGGTCCTCTCTCCCGCTGGCGAGCATGGCGACCCACAAGCTGTCCTCTGAGCGTCCTCACTAACCAGCTCTCTCTACATCACGCTTATAACCATGCTGCCTTCCCAGCACCAAGCTGCATTGTACATCCAATACAACATGTATATAGAGCACATTGTGAGTTTCCTTTCTCCATTCCATCCTGAGTGCGAACCAAACATATCATACCCCACAATACTGTCGCATTGGAATGCGGATACGCAGTTGTAGGGGAGAGATCCACTACGGGCTAATCCCGTTAAAAAAAAGTAAGGTATGCACATAGCATGTGCTTCGACTTAAGAACATTCCCAGGAACGGAACTCGCCCGTAACCTCTTTAAATTGCTTTTGGTTTTATTACTTTGCTCGTTAATAATATTTAAATACAATGTAAATTTATTCAGTCAGACTTGTTACTTTTATCTTGTGACTGTTTCCGTTCACCCAAAATCCTGTTGCCAAATGTGTATTTCAAGTAGGGCCCTTTACCAAGATCTTGGGTTGTCTGCAACTCTCTCCTTTACTAAAAAGTGGCATAAGCAGCAAACATTTTACAGAAGTGGTCGGCATAAACAACAAATACTTACAAAAAGTTGTCTTAAAAGCAACACTACAGAAAAGGTCGCTATCAGCAGTAAACATTTTGCAAAATCGGTCGGTTACGTCAGTGTACTGTAAGCAACAATTTGGAAACGATATATTTTTTTCCGAATATTAAAGGGGTAATATAGGTCCCAAATATGCTAGTTATATTCAATGTGTATATAATATTTTTTTTCTCCACTTTCTCACACTGTTGACTAATTTAGGGCAAAAGTAACCGTAGTTTGTTATAGTTTGAGGGGTAAACTTTCATAATGCCAGATATACTGTAACTTAGTATGCCACACCACCTTGTGCTGAACTAAAAAAATAGACACGTTAATTTCGCTCCTAGCTGCCAGTGTTGTCTTAGTCCTTCCACCTAAAACGTTATCATACTGAAAAATTTCACGCTCACATCAACTACATGTGAATTGTTAATCTATTTTTGTTTTTTCGCCGTCATTACCAGTATTTACCACAGGAACCAAATTTTATCAGAGGGAGCTGAATATTAATTTTGGTGTGCTAGATACTCTGTGGTGCAATGTATTGCACTTTATACCAAATAACATTGGAGCGCTGCAACCCCCCCCTCCATTCCATAACCATTCAGTATGTGTAGTTATGATTTTATGTGAGTTCCATCATCATGGTTGTGTGTAATGGTTTTATTATAATCATTACGATGTCATCATGTTTTGTTTCGTCATAATACAGTAAAGGTATGATTTTCACCATTATAGTAAGATTAGGTTCCATATACTGTATGTAGTTTAAATCCTGAGGAGATACACTTGTCTCTACAAAACTTATAATTCTGATTTTCAGGATAAAAAAAAATAATAAGATTCCTTTGTATTTTCTCCCCAAGGTGGGTTTTGTATTATAAAGAATATAAAATATTACATCTTTGGATGTGATAATTATCACAAATATAATAGAACAAGAAATAAATATATAGATATCACAATAAATTTGGTACACTTTAGAAGAGCACGTAAGACATGGACTGAAAGTTTAAATGATATGAGGCCTTAACCCGAAACTTGTAAACTGATGTAACTCGGACCTAACGTACTTTATACCTACACAAGTTTTCACAATTCATACAAAAAGTATAAACCACATTTTCCTTAAAAGGTAACCATGTGCAAATTATTTGCATACCTTTACAAATATAAATTGAGTGACACATCTACATCCACACTGGAATTGATTGTTACATAATTCCCTGGTTTAGTCACATACCCAGAGCTTCCATATTTTCGACAAATCCGATATTTGCTGTGGTAATAAAAAATTGATTTAAAAATATATTCACAATATACTAATAAATTAATTTAATCCTCAGCCTTCAAATTTAAGATTTGGCAAATACAAAATTCCCCAATGTTTTAATGATAAGCACTTCAATTTGGATTTTGACTTGGTCTGCTCACTCAACTGTGACACCCAGTTATTTTGTATAAAACGTAAAAGACGAGTCACTTAATCCTTACCACTTAAATACCCTCACAAGTTTAGCGTTTTTATAGATACAAGATGAGATCAGGTCACTGGGGATGAGTAGGTACAGCTATGAAGCTAATGGCTGGCGCCAAAGGAGAGACTTTTGGAGCCACAGGAACCCCAATCCGTCGACGAGTGTGTCGCTTCATGTGCTTGGCCAAATGATCAGAACGCATGAATCTTGTGTTACAAGAAGCACATTCGAACCTTTTCTCGCCTGTGTGTGTTCTTTTGTGACGGGATAATTCATCCGATCTAGCGAAGCGTCTTTCACAGCCTTCCCAAGAACACTGATAGGGCTTTTCTCCTGTGTGGGACCTCATGTGGGATTTGAGATGAGATGATTTATAATAAGTTTTTTCACAGCTTTCAAATGTACATTTAAATGCTCTCTTTCTGTCTTCTTGTGGAGTTTGTGATGTAGGTGCTGAGACCAATATAGGGGACAGAACCTGGGAGACGGCAGTACCGTTGTTTCCAGGTGTTGTAACAATGAGGTGAGTGATTCCAGCACTTGTGGCAGGAATCATAGTTGGAGACCCATTAATTTGGGCTAGGATCACTGGGCTACCAGAGTGTACTGGAATCACAGACGGCATCTTTGGTGCAATCGCCACGAGCCTATTGCTAACTTGTGGTGCTTTAGGGACCGAGGCATTTTTTGTTGTGGCTTCTTGAGGAGGTTGTTGAACAGGTACAGAGTATGTATTAATGGTGAAAGCACCAGTGGCTCCGTTCAATCCACGATCTGTGTCCTTGTTGTGTACAAAGATCTGTTCCTGAGCGGTATTAACGCTGCGAGGGGGAATGGGGTGAGGGCCTATGAAGGTTGGAAATTGGGAAGAAGATTGATCGTCTTCATGAAAATCCCATTTACCTTCGTCTTCCCTGTAAATAAAATCACGATTATCATACATTTTTCTTTCTGCTAATGTACGAGGCCTCTCATGTCGTGGCTCTTGTGGCGGCCGTCTGTCTGCCTTGACGATAACTGAAACAGGAACACCTGCCCCAGATCCAGGAGGGGTGGAAGCTCTCGAAGTGTAGCTGGAGAGAACAGGGCTGGGGGAACGAGGAGGGGTGCATGGCGTGTGGGGTGGCGTCTCATTCATCAAGATCTGGAAGATGAGAAAAACTATAAATAAGGGTACAAATATAAAGGTACAGAAAATCTTTGAAGACCTGTTTCCGTTCTGCAACTCTTCTACATAGCTAAAAATGCTTCTCGTTTCAAGATAAAATGTCTTCATTCATTAAAAGCTTAAGGTAAACAATATATTAAGTTAAAAATGTTTCTCATTTTAAACTGAAGAAAACACCACCATACTGTACAGTACATTAAAAACTTTAAAAATACTATAACTACAACAAAAGCAATATAATTACCTTGGGAAATTCAGTTTCTTTTACAATCCTTTTCTTGTCAAAGGGAAGTTGATCAAAAGATTCCTCCAAGTCTGACTCAAGCGGGTGATACGGAGATATGCCTCCGTGTGAGGAAGGCGGGGATGGTGGTAACTCCAAGGTGCTACTCCCACACTCCCGGCTACTCCATCTCATTTCATGTTGCGAGAATGACAACAGCGTCTCCACCACCTCCAGATCTTCAGCACCTGTCTGTCTTAAATCTTCCCTACTTCTGTCTCTAGACTCTTCAAGGCTCCTATGTCTGCAATCTTCTAGGTTTGTCAGTTTGTATTCTTCCCAAGCCGCGTATTTGTGATCGTTTACACTTCTCCGCTTGTAGCCTTGGGGATCTGTGTGTCTGTAACCCTCTGTGTGTGTCAGTCCGTACTCTCCTCGGCTTGGCACTCCATGTTCTTGAAAGCCCATATATCCCAAGTTTGCTGCCTGCAAAATGAAAAAAAAAGGTGTTTTAATAAAAGAATACAATAATATATAGAGTAATGGTTTACATACTTTTTACTGCAACATCAATGTACTTCTGTCTTTCTAAAATCTTGGTATCACGACCCCGTGTCTGTTCACCTACACAGATCAATTTTCATTTTACGTACTGTAGCAATCATAATATAAAATCTAAGCAAATATTATAAGAGAACTTCCGAGCACACCGCTCTACTAACTCTGCGCAACATAGATCCCAGATTCAAGTTCGGGGCCACCACCACCCAACCAGACGGCACGGCGCCTGCTCAACCCCGCGGCAGCAAGCCTCTTAATTATGTTGCTCGGCAACTCTCTCGCTAGGTTTCACAAACTAACGTTTCATATATATAATTATATACAGTTTACCCGTTATATCTTTAAAACACTAAAAAAATATAGAATATTCATAGATGCATTTTAGTTCAGTGTTAATGTAAATATCCATGCGCAAGCATTAAAGAGCAAAATCAAGACGTCATAGTTATCACGTGATCAACATGTGAAGGGCTCGTGAACAGGTCGGACACACCTCCCTTCGTCCATGACGTCACATTGTTACTACACACCACCTTGTCATTTTAGTTAAAATTAATTATACGTACTATATGTGCAGCTATATACAACATTTTGAGGATTTTTATATATATATATATATATATATATATATATATATATATAATATTAGCAAAATGTGTTTAATATTCTAATATGTAAGAACAAATAAAACCAAGCAGTGCGGGACTTGGTTGGCATCACAGCATTTCCTCTCGCTCTTTGTTTGGCGGGAAACGGGTCAGGACGCGGTTGAATCACAAATTTTAAACCAAGCGCTTCTCTCGATCGCCATAAGCTTTCAATCGCAAATTAAAAATTTTGGGCGCCAATTTCAGTCTTGCCTAAATGAAGGGGCAATAATGCTACAAGGACCCAACAAAAAGTGGAAATAGAACTTCCGTCCTGTAGTATCACCAGGTATAACACCCGGGATAGAATTATTAGTTGTAACAGTTCGATTCTCTCACAAATCCTAACCCTATTAATACCCAAATAAACATTTGTACAATTTGCATTACAGTTACTTCGCTTCAGTTAAACACTCTTATAATTCGGTTTAAGAGTTGTCTAAATTTTATAGGGTTAGAAGTTAGAATGAATAAGAACAGAAGAGATCCTTCTTACACTCCCTTAAGATAAGGTCAAGACTTAGATTACGTACTCGAAATCACTACCAACATCATCTTATAAACGTACCCCTAAATAACGTACAGTATGTCCTAAATTATCAGATAAAACAAAGAACTTTTCGCATTTGCATTATACGTCAGAAACAAAATTTGGGGGTATCCCTGTAATTTCCATTTAATTAAAAAATAAAAATGTTCAAAAGATACTTACAACAACCTCTAGGTGAAATACGTTAATGAATCCCACTTATAAATATATTTTAAGAACAATACTCGTGAACTTTGAGATAAAAATACAATCTATATAAATTATATATTTTCAGGTATACGCTTCACAACGTTATCTGCAAGTTGATATAAAGGGAACACAGTGTAATGAAGAAAACCAAAATACACAACACGGTACAGTACAGAGGCAGGCGGTTCGCGGTTACGGTACCATATTAGGCTCCCTCACTGTCACTTCACAAACACGAACACCTCTACAAGAAATAGGTCTTGCTTTTGATAATTTTAAGATCACTAAAATAACGAGAGATGCCCAGGTCCTGATATAATATCCAGAGAAATTTGTATTGCCTCAGTGGCAATGTATGGTTTTGCTACACATTATACGTATTATTTGCTACACCATGTATCTGCACAAAATTTTTCTGATAAATGCACAAATAAATAAATTCTAAAATTCACATTTAATCGCTGAATCGTAAGAACGTGATCATGTTTTAATTACTCATTCGTTTTTCAACACTAAACTTCTTTCAATCCACAGAAACACTTCTCACTATTATCCACATGCCTGTGAAAGTGAAAGACCACCCCCGTAGTGTAGTAATATCACACCTAAATGTGCCGGATATTTATAATTTGCACAACTGATCGAAATCACTTTTAATTACCTTTTGGTCCCAGTTGGGAGACTGAGGTAACGAGTGCTTGAACATTATTTGCTTCTTCATGGTGAGAGTTTATAATCCAAAACCTGCTGCTGTATCCCAATGGGAGTACTGAAGGAATATATCGCACAACCACCGCTCATATCCAGCAAGTCACAAGTAAGAACTTGGAGTAGAGTCCACCACGTTGAGTCCTCCCCTCCCACAGTTGTCGAGGTTGCGGCACGCCGCCAGACGAACTAACGCGTGAATTTTCCTTTATTTTGGCCATAATATATTAGAATTTAAAAATTTTCTGATACAATTAGATGAAATGTATAAAATATCATTGTCAACAGAAAAATCCGGTCCAATTTTCTGTTAAATCAACAAAAAACAGACTATATGAAACGCCACCAGCTGCAATGTGTGAGGAGACATAACGAAAAGGGCGGGTGTTGACGCGGACCAATGAGTGGGGTGGGTGCGGCGGAGTTAGCCAATAGGAGGCGAGCGAGGTTGGTGTCCACGTGAACAGGTCGTGGTCGACGTCCTCTCTCCCTGGAGTGATCACGTGAACAGCTAGTGCTGCCTGCCGGATCGCTCTGATGCAACAAACTCACTATGGATAATATTTCCCACTTTCATTCGTCATCTTAACGTAAAGGATTATCTTTACCACACATTTCGGGTATGTAGGTTCGAAATGGTGAGACAAATGGACACTAAAATTAGCTTATTTACTTTATTAATCATGATTTTTTTATCCAGGTGATGCTATTGTACTCAAACATACCTTAAATGAATAGGTAATATTGAAAATTACCCGCGAGTTCCAAAATCATCGTTCAGAGCGTGCGTGAATGTGAGTCATTGGAGGTGCAGGGCGTGAGCGACAAGAGAAACCACAGTACACTATTTTGGTACCGCTTACCTGCACCTGACAAAGTCTATACATATTACATAATTCATGTATATCATTGCTTAATTGGGAAGGCCTAATTTGCAATTCATGTCAAATTCTAAAGAATGTATTTGTAGCCATAATTCGTCGCTGGTCGTATATTAAATACTTTAATCAAACATATTTTGTACGGTAGGTCGTCATTAGATCAATAATTTAGTAATGAATATGAAAACACTCATGGCAGATGCTGCTTTGTATAGTATCACCATGTAACAACTTGGGTGTGTGAGTGGCCAGGTCACGCTGACACACCCAGGGCTCACATATCCACAAAGTCAAGATATTTCGACAGAGCTACTAACTTAGGTGTATATGAATCACATGTTAATTACGACATATGCTTGAAGGTTAAAATTAAACAGATGATCGCCCCTCCCCGAGAAACGTGACTATAACAAGTACCTTGATGTAGCGTACGTGTTGGGTTGTGATTTATGCCAAAGACTATTTATATTACAGTCTTTGACTTATGCCACACAGAGGGAGGGCTTTGACCATAGCGTCATAGCACTGGGTGGGGAGGAACCAGTAACCCTGAAAAATACCCGGTACGTTAATGTAAGCGACCAGCAGCCTCGCCGTGATGACCACTTTCCCTACCTCTGTTGACGCGTACTATATGCCCTCTGCTGCAGACTGAGATATTAGTTGTCTATGAAAGATCACTTGAAGATTCGTCCTCCCTAGTTTATTTCACCTGAAGATTAACCACCCTTACGCTTCCCAGGTTAGGTTACGTTGTTTTAGGTTAGGTTAATTTATTTTAAGATGATTAATCAGATGAATTAGGGAGGGGCGAATCTTTAGGTGATAATTCTTAAACTTTCTGTGTGGCAGGCAATGTTTCTCTTTCAGTGGATCAGTTATATTTTTTTGTCAGTTTTAAAAAGTTTAGGCAGTTTTAGGTAGCGAGTGTACCCCTCTACCAGTGAGTCTTTCTGTGGGTTCACATGAAGATTCGGCCCCTCAACTTATTTCACATTATGGTTAACTGTAGGTAGTAGGTAGGAGGCAGCTACCAAACAGGGAGGTACTACCACCTGGGAAGATATTGGAACAGGGCCGGATTCAGGAGTGGGCAAAGTGGGCAGCTGCCCAGGGGCCTCCACAATCTGGGGGCCTCCACGTATTACAATATTTTATTTAATTGTTAATTCATTTGGAATATTTTTATTTTCAATCTTTAAAATTCATGTTTATCTATCACTTGTGTGTGTGTGTGTGTGTGTGTGTGTGTGTGTGTGTTGGGAATTTGTACACTATCAATAAATATAGTTAATTAAAAATTTCTCAATGTTCTAATTTCCTCAATATAACTGCATATGGCTTCAAAATTCTCCAAAGAAGTGTTCAAATTTCAAAATTTTTCCGGGGGTCTTACAGCGCCCCCCGGAACTCCCAGGTGATTAGGCTCGCTTCACTCGCCACCCCACGTTCTTGGGTAGTTATAATGAGGGGGCCTCCACAAAGAGGCTGCCCATGGGCCTCCACAGGTCTAAATCCGGCACTGTATTGGAAGCACAATGCATTGTTTAATGGTAGACCCTGCTGCCATATGGCATCACGAAAATTGTGACCAAGTCCCAGACTGCTGATCTGACTTTCTGCCTCATTTATACACAATTGCAGGGTCTCAATTGTTTCTCTTACTATTGACAACACAACATACTGTACATGTGGTGTTTCTCACTATTGATCTCTTTTTTTATTTTTTTATTTATTATTATTATTATTATTATCGTTATCAATTTAAAATTTTATTTTCAATTTTGAATTTTGTATTATAAATTTTATTTACTATGAATTATTATTATTATTATTATTATTAGATTACAGATTGCCCACGAGGAGGGCTAGTTTACTGGGCACTCCCTTACATCCTGTGCAAGGTGAAGCGCAGAAACGTTTACAGTGCCCAACTGGGAAGCATGCGGAGTATTATTACATTTTCGCCCCCCAGGCCCCGATGTGGGTCAGTGACCTGTGCCCGGGTGGGCTAATGCCCGTAAAAAAAAAATAATATAAACTACTATGCTTAGCTAAGCTAACCCAATTCTAACCTAACCTAACTTACCGTTCATTAACCTGCTCAATCCAACCCTCTAAGTAGCGTTAAAGGGGTTAAGCTTCAGGTGAAATAAGCTAGGGGCTAATCCTCTGATGATACCTTTCAATAATACCCGTTGCAAAATTGTTCATGTTTCTGGTAGTGGTGTTAGTGGCCACTAGTTCTCGTCGATCTAGTGGGTCGACGAGGGTCAGATCATATTTAGACTCGATGGACGAATGAATTTAATCAAAAAGTTTGGAGGCGCTGAAAGGATAGTAGTTCAAGACAGGAGGTTAATGATGATGCTTAAAGGGTTATTGTGTAAATATATGACAAGAGTTGCATATTTTAATATTGCGGGTTTACAACAGGAAAAGCGCGAAAAAATAACACCAGATTTTTTTCCAAACAAGTCCCGTGGATATGACGCCATATTCATGACAACGTTCAAATCTCATGACAAGACATTAATCAGATGTCTCCTTGAGCTTAGCTGACCTACGAATTATGAGGTAATTAATAATCATATCAAGTTGTCAAGTAATCTCATCTAAGCTGTGAAGTTAGGACATATCTTTCTTATCGATATGAACAGTTTATATAGTATAATGTACTGTACTACCCTTAAGTCAGCAGCAGACATCACAAACAATGCGTTATATGTCTGAAGATCTCAACTATTGAGCAGGTCATAAAGTTTGGTTTGGTACGGTGTGATCAGATCTGTACTGGGCTAATTCGGTCATATCTCTTAATAAGTTCACGGATAAAGCTTGTTCAGTCAACCAAAAATTTCGGCACCCCTAGGTCATCATATTGTACAACACCGTAAAGGTGCAGAATTTTTGTCCTTGAGTGGACTTGGTACTTTTAGACCACACTAGGATCCGTTACTAAAGGTATCTTCTGTCTTTGTGAGGATTAAATAAGCAGAGTTGTCATTAGTCTTGAAAATGTCGTCAAGTTCCTAGTCATAAATAAAATTTACCTAACGGCTCTTTGGATACTTGTGTTGTTATGACAATTCTCACTGTCATTTAACGTATCATAAAACTGTGACCTGTTAAGGAGTTACGTCAAGCCGAGTGTGGGGAAAGGTTTACAGGTCAAATTAATGTTAATAATTACATGATAATGAAAATTTTTATCGATCTCATAAAGATTAAGAATCCCCTTTTATTTTACCTGGTGATTAAACATCCTAACCTAAATTAATCTCACATGTAGCGTTAAGTTTTTTAATCTTCAGGTGAAATAAACGGAATTTTTTAATCTTCCCGTGATCCAATCTTTCAAGCGACGTGTATTATGGCTGAATAATATAAATAACATAGCTCAATGCAATGAATGAATTAGTTCAATAATACAAATAAAATGAAGCTAAAGATTGAGGACAAGGAGCATGGTGTTGAGGAGGACATGAACACCTAAGCACTGTAACAACAATCATAGCCAGTCTTCAATTATACTGTATGTAGGTCAGGGATGCTGGTGGCAACAACAGCTAGTGTGTTTACGCAGCACATTCGCTATTCCTCACTGTATTCTCCATTTCTCATATAAATGCATTGTTTTTCACTTTAATTTACCCTTTTCCTCTCTTTGAATTTCCCTACCGATATTACCTTCACCACTCGTTGCCACCCACTGCAAGTTCAAACACAGCTGGAATCTAATTTATTTGCTCCTTAACCTGTGTGAAGAACTCATCTAACTCATCTAGCTTGCTATCTACATATCACCCGAGTTTTTTTTCATATATAGATTTTGAATATGAAATTAACTAATAACAGTTATTTGAATAATTTTGTCCGTAAAATTAATTATTTTTATCATGAAAAACTTCAAATCTCAACCCGGACGCTGATTGGTTACGACGTCACGATTGCGTTTGTTTATCATTCAGGCATTCACGATGTTTTCCTCAAGGAGCGTAGTTACGGGTTATTGGCTATAAAGTACAAATAAGGAAGATTCGTCGATGTTTTTTTAGTAGAAAAGTATAAGTGCTGGCCGAGCAAAACAGCGAAAAGTGTTCGTTTGTTCCTGTGCACAAGACGATGAAAAGCTTCTGGCGATTTGTTGTTGAGTAGGAAAGGATCATTCTCTCGTTCCTATGTCCTACTATGAAGACCACTATAATGTAAGTAGATAACAGATAAGGTTCCAGGGTAATGTAAATGAT